CCCCCCCCCCCCCCCCAAACATACAGTCACATATCTGGCATGTAATTGATTGATTATTTGCATTCCTACACCTACAATCAATACTTGTCATGCTATTGCAGGGTTGGTGACGCAAATTGACGTGGGAACAGATCGGGGCCTAGGCGGTGCCGGTAGTAACTTTGTGCCAACATATAGTTAGAAATTAGCAAGGTACCTTTATGTGGTTGCTCGAGAGCTTCGACCTGCTGAATACCTTACACCAATGAAGTGGAGATTTGAGAACTGGCATCTTAAGCTTTAGTGCATGCCGGCTTGAACCTTTATTCGTTGGGCTTTTTCATCATATTAGGGTTGATATGAAAGCATTTTACTATTTTTGTTAAAGCAGCCCCAAAGGGGACACATGGTGACAATGTTGGTGTCGTTGGAGCTAGTTATGACATGACATGTCATGCAACACGTTCCAGCGACATCATTTTATTATTATTATTATTATTATTATTATTATTATTATTATTATTATTTGTCACTAGTGGCTATTGTTACACATTAATTTTTTTTGAAAGAGTGGTACACATTATAATACTTGTTTTTTTTTACGAGTGTCATCATTGTCATGTTGCTTAAGAGGGATTTAGGGTCATAAGTGAAGTGAAACATTGCTTTTTTTACTCATGTTCATAAAAGTTAGTCGTGGTTTAATCTCAACTATGGTTGAGAGATAAAGACCAAAAACACATATTTTTCATGCCATTAAGAGAGTATACCATTATTTTTCAGGATGTAACACTACTTGCTAGACTCTATGTTGATGGACAAACTAATTGAGACAAGATGCTGATTGAAGAACATTTCATATTTTATTTAATTATTCATTATTATAAAATTTACACAATTTAATAATAATAAAAATTCATGTAATGTAGTTTATCAATATTTAGGGGTTGTTTCTCTTAACGTGACCATTAAAGAAATTTAGTTAAAGTTGTCATGGTTGGTTGAAAGATTTAGCAACATAGACAAAAACAACAATGACATCATTATGTTAAAGCTTGGATATTGAGGTATATTGGAGGTGCCATATTTGTTGATAGGGACTTGAGTTGAGTATCACCGAGGTGATTACTTTTTTTACATGACTTTGATGCCATAAAGACATGCATGGGATGTTGTTGCCTTAGGGTATTTGTATTGACAGTTATGTTCATCAACTAATTATTTTATGATGTCAATTGATGGACTAGTGATACTTATGCAATTATGGGGATGAGAATGATTTGATAGGTTAGTTCGTCTAGTCTCACCATTCATTCTTCTGAGATGTCCAATAAGTCTAAAGTAACTATTGGGTGATATTATAAACAAGTTTTATGGGTATGTTAGTTAATATATGAATCTAATAAATTTCAATTTATTTTAGATGGTCAAGCAACGATCATGGTATAAATGTACGAAATGATTTGAAATATCACCTTAAACAATTTGACTTGATGAAAAGAAAATATGTAAGTAAATTTACTTGAATTATTTGATTATGAATAATTATTGTAAAATATATGAAAAAATAGATATTTTATAATAATTATTCTTAATTAAATAACACAAGTAAATATACTTGCTTTCTGTTCATCTAGTCAAATTGTTTATGGTAATATGAAATGTATAATTATACTATGACTAGTGTTTGACCATTTAAAATAAATTTAAGTTTGTTATATTCATATATTAACATACCGATAAAATTTGTTTATAATATTATTCAATAATTACCTTAGACTTATTGGATATTTTGGAGGAATGGCTAGTGATTATGAAGGAGTTAACCCATCAAATTGATCTCATCCTCATAATTGCATAAGTAATCACTAGTCCACCAATTGATGCTATAGAATAATTACTGGATAAACATAATTATCAATATAGATATCCTAAGACAACACCACCCATGCACATGCACATGTCTTGATGGAGTCAAAGTCATGTAAAAAAAAGTAAACACCTCAATGATACCTAACTCAAACCCCTATCAACAAATATGACACCTTCAATATATTTCAATATCCAAACTCTAGCTCAACGATGCAAATACTCCAGATAATTGTTGTCTTCATCTATGTAATCTTTCAACCAACCATAACAACATTATTTAAGCTCTTATAATTGCCATGTCAAGAGGAACAACTCTTATATACTAGTAAGCTATGTTACATGAAATTTTTTATTATTAAATTGTGTCGATTTCATAATATTGAATAATTAGATAAAATATGAAATGCTCTCTAGTCAACATCTTCTCTAGATAAGATAACTTGTTCTCTGACAAGTAATGTCACATTTTGAAGAATAATGGTACACTTTCGAAGTGACATGTGAAATGGATGTATCTTTAGTCTCCATCTCTCAACCATGGTTGAGATTAAATCAAGACTGACTTTTATGAAGCAGAGTAAAAGATGATATTTTACCTTATTTAGGACCCCTATTCAATAGCATCATGATGATGCCGACACTCTTAAAAAAATGTTGTTGGAGCCACTAACGACTCCCTTTAAAAAAATGTGTAGTAATGACTATTAATGACACAAATAAAAAAAATGATGTCACTAGAGTCTATTGTTTGACATATCATGTCACAATTGAATCCGGCGATACTAACATTGACATTTGACAACATATCCCCTTGGAAGTCACTTTAACAAAAAAAGAATGACATGTTATGGGTGTGTTACTGAATTAACTAATGACACTTAACATTGATTATTCCAAAGTTATAATAATATATTTCAAAATAATCCCAAACTGAATAAAATATTTCTTTAACAACCTCAAACCTATCAAATAGCTATGTTCGATATGATAATATAACATCATATTCATACATAAAATTGGTACAAAAGTTATACATAAATATAACATGTTGAACAAAAAGATAATTGATATTTTAAAAATTAAAAGGAGACATTCTAAATAAAACATGTTATCATTTATTAAAAAAAATGAAGAAGTCAAATAGGAGTATTACATGCGGTTGTGCTTCCTTTTATACATGGAGTTACTTAATGTAATATGATGCTCATGTTTTTACTCAATTTTAAAACTTTTTATCACCATAATTAGGACTTGTTTACATGTATTCTTATTTTTATTTGAACACCAAAAATAAAATGAAAATAAGGCAACAATTTTATAATTAAAAAGCAAATAGAAAATGAAATCGATAAGTAAAAGTTTAGGATTAAAGATATTATCTTATTCTTGTTATCCCTAATTTCTAGATGCATTGCAACTTCCTTGAGTAGAAGACTTAAAACATGAGTTTGGGATTAAAATACATGTAACTTGAGTGTGTAAAAATATATAACAAAAGCGGACTGAACCATGTCAAAATCAAATCAAATCAAATTTATTGAGAAAAAATCGAACTGGATCATTTTTGTAAAATAAACCCAGTTTGAATTGACTCATTTTTATAAAGTGATTTGGCTTGTAAAGAATTTTTCCCAAAATTTTACTAGATTTAATTATACATGTTGTCCTTTCTTGAATTTGGTCTCAATTTTCTCTCTAACAAATGTGGTTTCTCAACTATTTTAATTATGTAATTTTGGTTTATCTATTATTTGTTGACATCTAATATTTAACAAAAATGTTAACATAATCAAGTTTACACCTACCTTTTTTTTAATTTTTTTATTTGAAGGCAAAGTTTATACCTGCTTAAATATGAGGAACTTTGGGGGATCTTTTGTTTAAAAATGACTGACCAAGTATTTATTACATAAAAATTTGATTCCCTGGAGAATATTTAATACTCTTCATCTTTTTTTGTGAGAAAAAAAGGTTAAAAATGGTCATGTCAGTATATCAATTTAATAATTAAGAGTATTTCCGAGACATAATATTTGTCTTTCACCATTTTCGTCTTCTCATGTTCTTCTTGTGTCTCTTTTCGTTTTTTCATGATTTTCTCATATTTGTTTTCGTTGTAGGTCCAGTTTGGGTTCGAACCTGGAACGACCCGTTCTGCATGGAGAACGGGCCGTACTCCAAGCAGAACGGGTCGTTCTGCAAGAAAAACGGGTCGTTCTCCTTATAGAACGGCTCGTACTCCATGCAGAACGGGCCGTTCTCCAAGGAGTACGGGCCGTTCTTCAAGGAGTATGGGTCGTTCTTCAAGGAGCACGGGCCGTTCTCCCTGGGAGAACGGGCCGTTCTAAAAGTGACCTTTTAGGCATTTTAATCAGACTGGAACGACCCGTTCCAGTTTAATTTTTTTCCACAGCCAGACTTTTAAGATCGGTTATAAAACAACCGATCTTAAAAGTTAACTTTTAAATCGGTTGTTTAACCGATTTTAAAAGTCTAACTTTTAAAATCGGCTATTTCAAGATCGGTTAAAGAACCGATTTTAAAAGTTAAAAATAACCGATTTTAAAAGTCTTTTTTCCACTAGTGTGTTATAGCAATTATTTTCTTCTCAAACTTTTCTCCAATAGATTTTTGTATACATGTTTTATAAAATAATATTAAAATTATATTATTTATATAATTATATAATATAATAACACATTAATAAAAAAAATGGTAACAACATCATAAAACATTAATTACATTAATCTTAAATTATTGTAATTTTAAAGTAAAATTAATTATAAAATTTAGATAAAAATACTAAATTATTAAAATATATA